ACTGGACCCAGCACTGAGCCCTGGGGAACAATCTTTACCACTTTTAAAATTTAGTAGAATGTGGTCTGCTTCCAAATACACTTCAACTATTTAGGTTCTTAGTCAAAGAAATACGGATACACTCTTCTTTCAACTTTCTGTAGGACTGAGGAGGAATATGTCACTTGGCTTCAAGTAGAAAATTAATTTCTCACAGACTATAGGAGAACCTCAGATCATTAATATACATCCCAGTTTGTACTTGGCTGGAGGGGAAGATACCAGTAAAGCAAACTGCTATCTTATCTCTAAGCAACTGATGTTTCTCAAGGCTACTGCTGCACTGAGGAGCGTGTTGGTGTGCTCGCGTTCTTCCCCACTGCATCTTTTTACCCTGGCTCCGCATCTGCTTGGCTGCTTTGTTGATTGCTGCCCTTTCATGTGGTGATACGCGGTACGATATAACTGCTGGGTTTTATATCTGTGCTTCATTTAATAGCATTTAAAATTTTCCTAAATACAGCACGTCTTTCCTGCGAGCGTTTCAGGCACATAAGGAGGAAAACTGGTGAGTACGTCATAGAGAGCTGCTAGAAACTAGGCTCTAGTCTTTCACTATCATGATACCATAGTAGTCAAACTGAAATTATGCCTGTAGTTTTTATTTATTCCCACCAATACTTAAGTGCAGCCTAATTGTTTTTGCTGCCTGTTGGAGTTTTTAGATCCAAAAGTGTGCAAACTAAACATCTAAGCTTAATTATGTAGAATGGTCCATAAGTAAGCATGCAAAGAATTTTTTAAAGGTGAGGTGGTCTTTTATTAAAAACACCATAAAAGATATTTCTGAATTAATTTTTCCTCCAGTGTAGGATTTCTGAAATGCTAAGATCTTGAGGACCTTTCCTTTTAAAATGTACGTCCTTCTGTATTTAAAGATTAATATACACTTTTCTAGTCTTGTGACCAACTAGCAGAAAAAAATATAATGCTTGCTTCTCATGTCTTATTGCATGATTTGTGCATACTAACTATATTATGTTTTACTTTTCCAGGGCTTTACCTATTATGTATGCTGTAGCCCTCGACCTTCGAATTTTTGCTAACAATGTAAGTAGATCTGATTAACAGCCTTACTTTTTTTATCTGTCAGGAGTTTCCATGGTGGAAATACTTTAGACTTTATTACATAGACTGATTTTGCTCAGTACGGTTTAACTAATTGTTTAGGATTTTGTGGACGTACTAAATTCATCCATTCCTGGGTGAGAAACTAGGTTACTCAGTCTGCCCACTTCCCATTTGCAACTTGAACTAGAGAGGTTTGAGGACCTGCACACAACTCACAACAATTGCTTAAAGCATGTGAAGTGATTCAGTATTGCCTTCATAAGAGTAGCATGGTGGTGCAGCTCACTATTTCCATGTGTTATCCTTGGGATTTGATGGAGTCTTTATAAGGATGGAGATATTCCAGACAACTGAACTGGTCTAACCACTTGCCATATCTGAAGAGGAAAGTTTCTGCCTCCTTTTCCCTCTTCCAGCTGTGTGTACTGCTTTTGATGCTCATTGGAGTCCTTGTTGAGCCCATACAACTGCTGACAAGCAAAAAAAAACAAACCTCAAACAAATTTACATTATTTTTCTCAGGCTGTTGAATTGAAGTAGCTTGTGTAGGGATCTAACAAGAACTGCTAAGTCAAAGTAAGTGGCAGGGTCATGATCTTGCTCTTAGTCACTTTACCTGAACACATGAGGCTAGAGTTCAAGTTAGGTTAGGGTTTGGCAATATCCAGTATTTTCAGTGTTTGTTCCGTCAGCACTTTCTTGTGTCCATCCACCCACAAAACAACAAATTTGGCATGCTTACCCGCAGAATACTTTTTGTGTGTGTGCATACTTTGTAGCAGGTCTCAGTTCTCAGTCTGAGTGGGGCAAGTCTCTCTTATTTGGGATGCGTGAGAGAGGGGAAAGTGGGATCAGTCACATTGGAAGTGTTTTAACTCTGTCTTCTAACGTGGGTATGTTCAAAGGATGCGGATACAGAGCAAATTTCTGCAGCAGAGGATGCATTTCAATTTCTTTTCCTTATGTTTCAGCTAGTGATAATGCAGGCACTATAATAAAACCTTCTAGAAAGCTCATAGGAAATACCTACTCTCTATTCCTCCCCTCTCTTTGTTAAGTTCTGCGTTAATCAGTGCATGGATCTTTCCCATGTGTTGGCAACTCGGTTTTTTTCCTCTTGCTGTTGTAACATATGCTTTCCATTTCTTTTGAGGATCCCAGGTCATAGCACTGTGTGTTACTAATAGAAAATGTTGAATGTGGTTTAGAAATAAAATTTAGCTCTCGTGGCTGTGGAGAGAAGCTTAATTATAAATTCTAAAACTCCTTAATTGGGGAATCAGTTTGCTTTTGTTCAAAAGACATTTTTTTTGCAGGACTGGATCTTTGGAAACTTGAGTTGAAGTGTTTAATGCTCCAATTCAGCTGTCAGATGATCCTGAATTTAGGTTTCCAAGAGCTGCATTAAGCTTAGTGGTGCTAAGGGTAATAGCAGTCAGTGCTGTTTTCAAAGGACTGTCCTCCTGTGCATTAGGTTTTGTACATGTTCAGGAGCCTCTTCGAATGTTTCTTTTTATTCTGTGACCGTGACTACCTTCTAGATTTAAGGGATACAGGCATGACAAATGTGTTGCTATAAGACTTTATAAAATGCTATATTAAGGAACTAAAGTGTTTAAAACCTGGTTGTAGAATTACACATTATTTCTTGCTCTGTAACGATAGGCAGATCAGCAGCTATTGAAGAAAGGGAAAAGCAAAGTTGGTGACATGTTGGAAAAAGCAGCAGAACTGCTGATGAGCTGTTTTCGAGTCTGTGCCAGTGACACGTAAGTGAATGATCCTCTACAGAACTTGCATTTTTAATTGTTAAGAACTTAATGAACTTCATGTAAGATTTTTCCACTTACTGAGACCATATGTGGGTAAGAAGGAAAACTTCTGAGGCTACTTTCCTCTCATTTGTAGTCTATTAACTACAGCTGGAGGGGCCTCCCTTCACGTTTAACATTCCTAGCAGATGTTGTTGGGAAGGACTGATTATGTGCTTGTTTCTCAGGAAATATCATTAACACTTTTGTTCCCTGTTCAGTTGTGACGTTTGCTTCATTCTGGTTAGATGGAAAAGAGGTGGCTCTGGTTTCCAGTCTTAGCAATTTTAACACTTTCAAAGTGGAGAAGATGCTTCCCCCCCCCCATCTTTCACCTTGAACAATATAAACAACTGTTGAGGTAGTGTCTCTGTTAACTGCAGACTGGAGTGAGGACCCTGATGCAGATGAATAATATTTTGCATGACATCTTTTCATTATGTTGAGAAGAAATGTAGCAGAGCTACATCTACATTAAGATGGGAATACTTGTCCTGTTTTGACAGTGCAGGTATGGTTTTAGGAGGAGGAGTTTGGCCTTGACTTTTATTTTCAGATGCCTATTTTTAATCTAAAAATCCGTAGAATATCTTTGGAGGGAATTTACCATAAGGACAAAGGAATTATTTTCTTACCATGTTCAATACTAGTAGGTTTTTTTTTCTTTTTTCTTTCTTATGACAGTCGAGCAGGCATTGAAGATTCGAAAAAGTGGGGCATGTTGTTTCTTGTGAACCAACTGTTTAAAATTTATTTTAAGGTAGGGTTTAAGTCTGGTAAGCTGTGTTTTGTATTTCATATTCTAAGTCAAACCCACCCTTTTTTTAATATGACACTAAGTGTAGACACTCTCTGAGTAAAATGCAATTAATTTTTTTTAACAGATCAACAAACTCCATCTATGTAAGCCGTTAATTAGAGCAATTGACAGCTCAAATCTGAAGGATGAATACAGTATGGCACAGCGAGTTACGTACAGATATTATGTGGGACGCAAGGCCATGTTTGACAGTGACTTTAAGCAAGGTACTGTGTTTCAGTAAGACACATTTAAATTCTAGATGCTTGGTGTGAATTCTGACTGATGTCACGTGTGTGTGACTCAAAATGTGTGTAAAGGTGCAGTTGTGTTTGCAAAGATCCAAGGCCCACAGGCTGAGTCAGATCAGAGATAAGATTACATGATGCTTCTAGCTGTAGTATGTGCCCAGTTTTAAAAATACTTGTGTCAGTGAAGTTCTCTCTAGTTTTATGCATTGTTTGCATGCATAATGAAATGTATGAGCATCCAAGAAATAGGTTTGTAAAAGGTTTCACAAAGGAGGCTTTGTCTTGTCCTCTTCAAGTTGCTGAATGCCGTGTAGGAAATCTTCAGCAAACTGTACTGTAGAATTAGTTTCTGAGTACATTGATTCTGGAAGATGCAGAAACTGCATTTCTGAGATCTCTTACTCACTAGTAGAAATGCTTCTAGAGCTAAGGTGTACAACTGTCATCACTGACCTAAACCCCTGACCAAAATCTGTTGTGGAGCCAGTTCTCTTACTCTCAACAGTGTCTTCTGCCTGTCAGGCTTGTCATTTTTCTCTTGGTGAAAACTGGTGGGAGGTTTTCATATTGTCATGCTTACATCCATTGAAGAACCTAATCTATGAATTTAGAAAATAAAGAGTTCTGTTTCATCAGTGCTTCTTGAGATTCTTCCCTGCTGTAATAGTTGTTCAGTATTACTGAAATGAGATGAAAATTCCAATATTGCTTGTAACTGTTCCCTCTGACGTGTAGACCCCGACAAGTTTTCTTTGACTTTCTGAAGGTGGACTTATTTTTCTGGTAATACTTTGTATTTTGTTTGAGTCTCATAATAATTCTTACAGCATTTTTCTTAATGCATTTTGATTGATATGATTCTTTTTTATATAATTTCAAATATCATGTGTTCAAGCTAGAGACAGGCATTGAACACAGAATTTGGGTTACAGTTTTAATCCATTTTTGTTGTTGATTCATGTTACTAGCACTTGTATTTGTCTGCAGCTGAAGAGTATCTGTCATTTGCCTTTGAGCACTGTCACCGCTCAAGCCAGAAGAACAAAAGAATGATTTTGATTTACCTGCTGCCAGTAAAAATGTTGTTGGTGAGTACATGTTACTCTTCTCAGTAATTTTTTTGGAGGCAGATAACCAAAGTGATGCTCAGTGTGGTTCTTGTTTTTCCCATATTGGAATTCAGAGGCTTTCTGTGCCTGTAATTTACATAGCAAAGTGCCTGTCTGGTGATCAGTTGCGCAGACTGGCCAGTGAAAGTGTGGATTCACTAATACAAATCTGCTTCTTTCACCTGGTGAAGAGGAGGAGGGTGTCCAAACAGATGGCTGAAGATTATTGAGGAGAGATTGCCACAGGAGAGAAAGGATTCTTATCTTTAAGTTTTCTATTTGTACTTTGTGCATTTGCCCGTTTGAGGCACATCAGAAGGATCATGAAGTGTAAAGCATTTTTGGTTTGAACAAATCAATGAAGACTGGTTATGTTTTGGTAATTTAATCTTCCTATTAAAAGAATTCAGCACATCTCTGCTTCTTATTCCTGTCCTTTCCCATCTGCTGTGCTAGCACTTGTGTATCCTTGAGTTAGTGAGATTATGCTAACAATTAATTCGGTGTAACTGAGGGAACAAGAACTAGATTTCAGAGTTTTCTGTTCCTGGCCTTGTTACCCAAGGTACACTTGGAGGATGTTGTTATCACCTGCTGCTGTGAGTTGCCATCTTCTGCCTTTGCCCCAACCTATCCAGCTTTTCCATTCAGTACTCCCTTTCCAGTTCCTTCCAGTGTCAAGTGGGTAAAGGGGAAATATAGTGGGTATGATAATTGGCTTCTATTTTTCATTTTTTATTTACTGACTTCCTTACTCTTTGCTTTCCTATCAATCAGTGGTAGGGTTGATAAAGGAAAACTGTGTCCCAGTCCTGACCGGATGCCTTAAGCTGGTGGGTCCATTAGTACCTTAGATTTACTGTGGCTTTTCTGGAGCAGTTCTAGTGTACAAGAGGCACTAAAGAAACTAGATAAAGGTCATTGTTTTTACAGTTGCCTTTTTACATTGGAGCCCAAATATTAACACTAACCTTAAACTATACTAAAATAGCTTGGATAGGGTTTTTTTATTCCTAGCAGCTCTCAGTAAACACGCAGCTGAGTTCTGCTCTCAGCTAATCCTCCAGCCAGGAAAAGTGTTACCAACAGCATAGTATGATGGTAACTAAATTTAAAGTCTGACCCAAGTCAGTGTGCGATCTGATCTCTGCTGTGCAGGGGAAATAACACCAAGTTTCTTTTTGATAGTATATGTGGTTCAGTCTTACCTGATCTAGCAATGAGAGTTAATTTTTTTTTCTTTAAACTTAAAATTTCTCTCTTTATTTTTTGTTTTGGTTTTATTTAACAGGAGATTTTTATTTCCACATGGAGACATAGTAAAGAAAAAAATCTGATACAGACTAAGCTAGCACTTGACAATGCTGAAGCACTGCTTGTTTTATTAGTAGTGCTTGGGACTCCCGTGGTTCTTCTGTTTGCAGATTAGATCATACGACCATGACAAAATTTGGATCTGCCTAGGCCTCATGTCACCGAATCTTGATTTTACAAGTTTGATAGCTGTTCCCCAACATTAAGAATTGTTAAGAGACTCTCTAAACCATGATAAACAGGTAGTTATTGTGAGCTGAGCTACAAGGTGTTTGGCAGGGGCAAGGGGGTTTGTTTTGCTAAGACTTGCTAGACTTTGCTAGACCTGATTAATGTTTATTAATTTGTAAAGGGCGAGTGTCAGGAGGAAGGAGCCAGGCTCTTCTCTCTGATAGCCAATGACAGGACAAGGGGCAATGGGAGCAAGCTGGAGCATAGGAGGTTCCATGTGAACATGAGGAAAAACTTTTTTACTGTAAGGGTGCCAGAGCACTGGAACAGGCTGCCCAGAGAGGTTGTGGAGTCTCCTTCTCTGGAGACATTCAAAACCCACCTGGACGCGTTCCTGTGTGACCTAGTCTAGGTGATCCTGCTCTGGCAGGGGGGTTGGACTGGATGATCTTTCGAGGTCCCTTCCAACTCCTAGTATTCTGTGATTCTGTGACTTTTATTCACCTCTTATTCTGTAGCAAAAAAACCCCAGGGGTTAAACATCTGTCCTTTTCTCTAACAAATATTTTTATAGCTTACTAGACTACATTTAAAATGCATTTGACTTTACCCTGGAAAACTTGGAAACCATTTATTTTTCAGGGCCACATGCCAACAATTCAGCTCTTAAAAAAGTATGACCTTATGCAGTTTGCTGAAGTAACCAAGGCTGTGAGGTATGATGATTATTTTGTTGCATTGTGTGTTAGTTTAAAAAGTATTAAGTTAAAGGTATTTATTTGGGATGATTGAGGAAGGCAGGGGAGGAATAGTCCTACCAAACCAGACAATTCCTTTTCTTGTTTAGGTGAGACCTTCTCATGTTTTCATTTCTTTGTCCTTGTAGTGAAGGCAATCTTCTCCTACTGAATGATGCTCTGACAAAGCATGAGACCTTCTTTATTCGATGTGGAATCTTTCTTATCCTTGAGAAGCTGAAAATCATCACGTACAGAAATCTCTTTAAGAAAGTGTAAGCATAACAAAACCTACATTTTTGCAAAAGCAGATTTAATGTGGTTTCACCTAGGACTGAGATAGAAACATATGCTCCTTAGTTTTCTCCAAGAGATGAATTCCTGTTGAAGTGAATTTATTGTGGAAAGGCCATTTTTTGAAGAACTAGAATTTTTAAGTTATTATTTCTCAATAACAGATACTTTTCTTGCTGTTTCTTTCAGATATTTACTACTCAAAACCCATCAGCTATCTCTCGATGCCTTTCTGTATGCCCTGAAATTTATGCAAGTAGATGATGTTGATATTGATGAAGTCCAGTGCATTTTAGCTAACCTTATTTATATGGTATGTACTGACCCCTTGTTGTCTGGTCCTTCCAAACTTCAGACAGTAAAAACTGCTAGGTAGATAATAGAAGTTTCTTGCAAAAAACATTGTCCCAGTAATCCCAGTTTTTTCTGTGTGAAAAAAAAAAAAGTAGATTCACTTGGGCCCAAAGTGAAATGTTTTCATTTGCCCTGAGGGCCTCCTCTAGTTCCTGCCTCTCTGGGAGGGTTCAGTTAAAATTGAAGTTGAATTTACATTACAAACCCAGTACTGACATTTCTATATATGCATAAATACTGATTTAAAAGTACCAGAATTGTAACTGGGACCAAAAGGAATTTGTTCTGCATTTGAAGAAAAACTCTTGACATCCTAACATTAGAAAAAATTAAAACTAGATTTCTTTGGTTTTGTTCCACATTTTGCCTTTTACTCTAAGTGGATCTCAACTGCTCATGAACAGATAAGGGCTTGAAATCAAGAGGTTTCTAATAAATCAGAGATTTTGGAGCAGCATTGCAGTGTCAGCAAGAAAATGAACCATGTCTCTGTTTCTGAAACATTATTTGGTGTGGTCTAGGACTAACAGAGGGTGGGATTAGGTCACTGGACGAGTTCTTTCAGTTCCACAATGTTGTGTCTGAAAAGGAAGTACTGTGTAATTTAGTTTATAAGATATGGAATAGTGATAAATTAAAATCCTAATTTTAAAGTGAGCAAGAGTAAATTCAGAAACACTTCTTTAGAGCTCCTTCTCCAAGGATATGTAAGCAGACCAGTAATGGCCCCGGCAGCAGGTTCTCAGCCTGACAGCACCCTTACTACACAAACACAGTTATGATTCCAAATTTCTGCTTCTTCTGTGAGTTAGTTCACATAAATTGGATCCTTATATGTATTAAGTACGATGGTGCAGGGGTGGTTGAGTATACACACATAGCTTTGGCTGATGTATTCTGAAGACAGCTGAGGTTATAGGCATTGTGTTACCAGCATCCAGTACTGACACTGTCTTTTTCTCCTTCTGCCAGGGTCACATCAAAGGCTATATATCTCATCAGCATCAAAAGCTTGTGGTCAGCAAGCAGAACCCATTTCCTCCGCTGTCGACAGTGTGTTGAGTATTGTGTCTTATCCAGGCAAGTACTTTTGAGATCCTCAGCTTGCCCAGCAGAGCTGCTCCTAATCTCCCTGAGAACATTGTAAATGATCTTGTTCATGTCCTGAACTGGAATACCAGGAACTGTTTGTGTCTTCTTTCCCAGAATGACCAAGACTGCCAGTGTTACAAAGTGCATTGGAATAAAATGCAAACTTTTCAATGATAGCTTCTGCAGGCTTTCTAGACCATTCAAAATATTTCATGAGGAAATAAAGCAATGCGTTCCAAATTCATTCCAAACAAAGCTTTTATAAAGTACTTTGTGTTACTATTTCTGCATTTATCTTTCAGAGAGGAGAAGTATCATCTTCTGTTACATGTGTTGATCCATTCTTCAGAGTGGAAATGGTATTTTCTCTTATGGTTTCCATTTTTTTTTTTAAGTCTCTTCAGTAATCTTGGTGGTATCAAATACTCTCTTCAATCCTTCTCTGAAGACTAGAGAAGTGCTTGACACTAAAAGCTTTACTATGTCAGTGATGCTTACGGGTTTAAGTAAATGTGGGATTTTTGTCTGGAGGTACTCAGAGATGGTTTTTTGTTGGTTTTTTTTTTTATTCTGACAATATTTTGTTTCATTTGTGTGATGAACAAAAGCTTATATAAATAAATTATCCATACTCTGTTTTAGTCTAGTGGTCTAGTGGTCACTACCACTGGATTCATTATTTTAAGTGTTTCTACCGTGGTGGTTTTGTTTGGTTTTTTGGGGGTGGTACAACATAACTTTGTCCGTAGTGATAGGATGTTAGTTTGGGGATTTTTAATTATTTTTAAAGGAAATAAAACATTTTTTCCCTTCTTTGAGAGTTGGGTTTTATTTTACCCACTAACTGATGTGGGCATGATTCATAAGGGAAAGCACAGGTACCATGTGTTAGGGAAGACATTTTTTTAGTGTGAGGACAGTGTCGAGTCCTACGTCAACTTAGGCTTTTAAAGGCTTGGAGTTCTCTTGGTCTTCATAAGTTTTACTTCTATGGCTGCTGAAATAAGAATATGAATTTGCTGGATCAAGCCTCAGGGTAACAAGGATGAAAAAAAGATTCGTTTCCTTCTACCAATATTTAAAATCCCAGAAAAAAGAAATCAATGTTTTTTGAGTTTTAGGATGAACAGTTCTAGGAAGCTTAAAGTACAGTCAGTTTTTAGTAAAATAACTGGGTTTACTGCAGCATGACTTTCACAGTGCTGTGTGTCAACAGAAGAAGGAAAGACAAACAGGCTTTCCTGTATGAATTGGAGTTATATACCTATCATCGTTGCAGCTTCCATTGCTGCAAATTGTGATGGAAAGTCAAATGGGTGTACTGTCTGCATCCAGATATTTTCTTGCAGTGTTTGGTAGGGGTTTGGTGCTGGAGAATTGGTTGTGTTTGTGTCTTACTTCATTTTTTGTTTGAACCATATCATATACCTTGCAGTGTTAGTGAATAGAAGTGTTTCCCAGTCAGTGTCTTCTAAGGGCCAAGATCCCAGGATACCAGTCAGAAACCAAGTGCCCTTATACTCAGTAGCTAAAAAGCTTCCTCCAGCCAGTTGTTTGTGTACGACCTTCTGGAGGTGTCCACAAAACTGCCTGTTTGTGAGGCTTACATTGAGTATTTGTTTGCAGT